CCCCCTCTAGCACCACTCCATTCCCTTTCGCACACGGCCCCCACTTCATAATGCCCCACCACCCGCAACCATGATTAGCTTTAATTGAGACAATGAAGGCTTGACCTTGGTGGGTTCAGGGCCCCCCTATCCTCCGCCACCCACTCCCCCCCCCAACTTTATTGCTATTGCCTAAATGCACTCACACTGTGCCTTATGAATGGCCATTTACGGATCGCCCAGAAGGTACGCACGTTTTCCTCATGTTCATTGGGCAAAAGTAGGAGAGCTCAGCGCCTGCGAGACTCAGGGTAGGCCACCCCGCACTGCACGCATGCACTGGAGGCCGGACATTGCCTACCCAACAGGCGTTATGGCAGCCTGCAGACGCTGAAGAAGGCGAACGCCGGACGTCACTTTCTGGATGATCTCATACGCCGCAGGAATCAACTTTCTTCTTTTTCGCGGTTCGCTTCCTAATCCCAACTTCTCAACTCACTCTCGAGCTCGTTGCGAACCTCTCTACTATACTTCTCTTGTTAGGCCGGCCGCTGTTGTGTTACTTGCTGCCGTGCTGGGGGCCTGTAACGTGCCGCTCGAAAAGGCTGCGACAGCGCGGAAGAACCGCTCTAGTTCAGAAAGACGAGGAAAAACCCTGAGCGCGGCGGCGTCGGCGTCGGCGTCGGCTCGGATAGGGTAGTGTTCGCCGTCCCATCATGCATGCAGGAGGCATTATGTTGTTCTTTCCTCCTTTTTCTTTCTTTTCGTGTAAGTGTGATGCGGGCTGCTGTTATCCTTTTGCGATTACCGCGACTGAAGCTCGCGGCTCTCAAGGGCGCACGCGAGAACCACCGTGACGACCGGCGGGAGAGGGGCGGAAGGGGAAACACCGGAGGCCTCCCCGAGGCGAGGCAGCGCGAAAGTGAGTGAGAGAGAGAGAGAGAGAGAGAGAGAGAGAGAGAGAGAGAGAGAGAGAGAGAGATGCATAAAGGGAGCGGCAGAGAAAGAGAGATGTAGCGACGGGGAGGAATCGAGGGTTCGAATTCCGATAACACATAAAGGGCCTGGAGGGACTCCTACCTGGTTGTCCTCGAGGGCGTGTACGAGTCGCTCCGTGTCGCTGGTGACGTCCTTGTCCAGCACGAGCAGGGCGCGGCCCTGGAGCAGCGGTCCCCAGATCTCCGGGACCGAGTCGACAAACGTGAGCGCGGTCTTGAACACACACAGGGCCTCCTCCTCGCCGAAGGGGAACTGGCGCCACTGCCAGCGCAGTCTGTTGAGCACCACGTTGTGCGGCAGCCGGACCCCTGAGCACACACACACGCACACACGCCCACCGGTTAGAGTTAAGTCTCACTGTGAAAAAAGTAGGTAAATTTACAGGAAAATGTTCCTTGACGCAAGTTTTAAAATTACAATTTGTAACCGTAAAAATACATGCAGTACATATGTATCGACTTCAAATCCCTTGGCGAGTAAAAAATGTGCTGTCGTAAATTTACAACTTAAATTATAATTCAAGTTTACAAATTTTTTTAAATTTACGACGGTATTTTTCACAGTGCTGGTTACCCGAGAACTCGGTGACCCTACTATGCGGCCTCCGGGCGACTAACCTTTCGGCACTCCGGTGCTACCGGAGGTGTAGAGGACGAGGGCGAGGAGCGGGTCGGCGAGGAGCCCGTCCTGGTCGGAGAGCGGCGCGCCGCTCAGGTCCGCGGCCTCGGCCTGCAGCTCGGCGTACGTGGCGGCGATGGTGCCGCGAAAAAGCTCGGGGTCCGGCTGGTCGGAGATGACGATGGCGGGCCGGGCCTCCGTGAGGATGTGGCGGACGCGGTCCGGGGGGAAGGCCGAGTCCAGGGGCAGGTAGGCGGCGCCGGCCTTGACGGCGGCCAGCAGGATGACGAGCAGGCGGTCCGAGGGCGGCAGCCGCACGGCCACCAGGACGTCGCCGTCGGGGTTGGCCGCGTTGCCGCCTGCCGAGCACATGCGCACCTTGCGCACGATGGCGCGCGCGAAGCGGCTCGCCGCGGCGTCCAGCTCCGCGTAGGAGATGCGCCTCCCTGTGACGAGTGGTGACACGTTAGTTTCCGGTCCCAGGCGCCGGAAGCCGGATGTTCCCCTCCCTGCGCCCGTACCGGGCCCGTATACTACTCACCCTGGTACATCACGGCGGGCGTGTTGGCCGCGGGGCCGGCGGCGACCTCCTCGAGCAGGCGGTGCAGCAGCTGAGGCTGGCCGGCGGGGGCGGGGGCGGTCTCGCCCCGCAGGATGGACAGGTCGGGCAGCGAACCCATCTGCAACAGGTGAGCGGCGTGAGCTAGGGAGCCCCAGAGCAGCGCAGCAAAGTCCTCTCCCCCGCTTCTGCTGTGAAACGACGACGGTCCTCGCCGGATGAGCGCGCAGCCGCTCGAGTTTCAGTCGGGGCACGTCGTCGTCTCCCCGCCAGCGGACCACCGCATCACAATCGTTTCCCTCGCGGTGTACGCCCCCACCCCGCCGCCCCTGCACCGCGCCACCCAACCGCTCCGTGACAATATGAAACGCGACAGTTCCGGGGGGCGGCCAGCGTCACTAACTCCAGTGGCCGGCGCCACGAGATACGGCGGTCCGGCGCGGCCACCTCGCATACCGCATGCAGCGCGCGTCGCCCGGAAGACAGACCGTCTAGTTTGTTGCATATTGTCAGCTGCTCGGGCGGCCACCGCGCGGCGCGCCGGTCCGTGAAGCGGTTGGCGCGGTTGGCGCGGCAGGCCCCTTCCCACCCCCCGACAACACCTCCCTTTACAAAGGACGGCGACAAGGGTTCGGGGCGATTCAGAGAGGATCTGTTCCGACCGCGAAAGACGGGGGGGCTGTTTTCGGGGGTTGGATATGGAAAGGGGCGGTCTATACACACCTGAAAGTAGGCAAACAAGCTCCGGCACAGACTCCGCCCGGCCCATCAGGCGGACTTCAAACCGACCCTATGCCACTATAGCGGCTAGCGGGGTGCTCGCTCGGTCCACACGTGCGAAAGTGCCCCGTGTTTGTACACCCCGGAGAAAGCGCAGCGCATCACGTGGCCGCGGTGCGACCACCAAACTTCCGGGTACGCGCGCCCTTTATCGCCGACACCAGCACACGAGAGTCTGCCCTTGTGGACACAGGCTTCCCCCTTCCTCCGTTACGTAGTGCCGGGCGAGTCCGTCCAGGCGGCCAATACCCGCAAGCCGGGCCGGGGGCGGGCTGAGGGTGGGACGGGGGGCGGAAGCAGCTCAAAGCAGGGCGGGCCGTCGTCGTGAAGGCCGCGTGGCGGATCACTGGACAGGACCGCAGCAGCCGTCGCCAAGTCCGCTCGGCGAGGGAGTGGTCAGGGGAGTGGTCGAGGGAGAGACGAGTGAGAGGAGAGAACTTTCTTGTATTTTTCTCTTAAAATAGTACTGCGGTGTGTGGATCACTGATTTCAAGCAGATTACCCTCCCAGACCGACACTGCTCTCAAGTCCCAACTCTCTCTCACCCCTCAAGGGCACAGCGGTCGCGGAGTATCGGCATCCCCCGGGCGACTAGCGCGGGCCTCCCCCCGCCCCCACTCCCTCCCCCCGCACCCCGCCGCGCTCGCCTTTGGCGCCCCATCCTTCGCGGAGTGTCACACAAGCGTGTCGCGGCGAGGAGGGGGAAGACGATTTCCGGTGCGCCACTTTGGAGCGAACGAATCTTTTGCGTGCCACAAAAGCGTGTAGCCGCGCCCGCGCTCCCGTCTCCAGGAGCAGCTCGCAAAAGCACACAGTAAATGTGAGCACACCGTGAATCTACGATATTCAGTAGCAGGGCTTCTTTTCACATGCCTCTGGAAATCGAGCAGCTTGAGATGTAAGTCAGTGGCCCAAGCTGCTGCCTCCAGATTCAAAGGCAAACCCGCCGGACGTCGGACTCGCCCTCGCTGAACAATCCCGAAATGTGGGCCGTGCAATACTCGAGCAGCAGCGGACGGGGACGTGGCCAGCAGGAAGAATGGACGAATAATTTCCCGCAGCTGGCGACACGCTGTGTACAAGACTCGTCGTATACGCTTTTACGTCAAATGCACGAGGAAGTCCTGCCCTCGCTCTCGCTGAGCCCGGCGGGGCGCTCAGAGTACACACGCCCGTATCGCCTCTGGGTCCCAGCAGCTTGCACCTTAGTGACGCGGGCGACGCGACGCGGGGGCGGCAGGGGGCTGCTCCAGAGCGCACCCCGCGGAATGCCCCGGGGACATGCGGGAGGGTGCGGCGACAGCAAAGGTGCCATTTGCGGCCTCGACGCACCACACAACAGCACGGGGGAAAAAGATTTCACCCCAAGAAACGTGCTTTGTCAACGTACACCAAACAAGAATTTGTTTGTTCTATAGGCTCGGTTCCAAAATAATTTGCTGAGAACAAAAATTTTGCCGCAACTAACTTCTCGCTAGGGCAAAAATGAGTTTTTGGGGAATATTGCTGATTTTGTATTCCAGCCGATTCCAACAATGATGGTTTGTTGCCCCAGCCAATATTCACGCCTGGAACAGACAAGTTTTTGCTATGTGAATGAAGGCGTTCGTTCATGGTGACATTTTGTTTTTTCCTATGAGAGAGAGGGAGAGCAAGAGAGAGATGCGTCGGTAGCGACGTCGCGAGGAACACAAAGCGTCGGCGGAGAGGAGCGCCAGGCCAAACAGAGGAGTGGGGGGCGAGCGTTAAGAGCGTGTCCACACAAACCTGGTCCACCCACCCCTCACCTAGCGCCCCGGCTAGCCTATCGGTCGCCGTGAGCACAGGAAAAGCCCGCGTCTAGCCTGGTCTAGCCTCTGTAGCTACCGCACGTTTAGCTGGCCATACCCGCGGACAGCTCATGTTCCGTCGCTACGATTGTAAAGTGATTGCTCCTTCGCGGTGGGAATAATATCGCTATGTCGGGGCCGAAGGCGCAGACTCACCCCCCGTATGTCCACCTGCAAAACGGTCTCGGGTGTCAGCGCCGCAGGCCGCAGGCTTAAGCTACATGTGTGGTTGCGCCAGGCGCGTAGCAGCGTAACAGTTTCATGTGACTTAGCGGTACAGCAGGGTCCGGCCTACGTGTCCTGTACACTGAGCTGCTGAGAGACAGTTTGCTCAGGGCGACCTCACCTCGCCCGCCGTGGCCGTGGCCTTGGTGCTCGGCGGGGGCCGGGCCCGCGCCCGCGGTGCCGCCGCCACCTGCCACTCTCTCTCGCTTGCATGCGCCAGCGGGCCACAAGCTGACCACCAGCAGCAAGTAGCGGCAATAGCAGCAGCAGCAGCAGCAGCAGCACTGATCAAGGAAGGACCCTGTCACGGCGCGTGCCGCTCGGGAGCCGAGCGGGGCGCGCACATCGTACTCATTGAGATGGGCAGCGGCGACGGCGGAAGCGTCTGGACTCGCCCATGGAACACTGGCGGAAAATTTTGGGACACCACCAAACGCTATGGGGAGAATAAAAACGGTCGCATCGATGCTTGCAAAAGATACAGTTTTTCAGAGCCTTTCGACATTGGCCGTGAAATATCGAGAAAACGAGGGGGTGAGTGAGGAAAGGAGGTAAAAAAGGTGGGGGAAGGGGGAGGTACATTTTGTCAAAAATCACGGTCATGTCAAACGGCGCCGATGGACGAACCCAATCTGTGGACCCGGGCGTGGTTTCCCGGCCCCCGGGGAGCCTCAAGTGGATTGGAGCCGAGCATCGTGTTGGGGTCACTCCATGACGTGGAGTAGCGTGGCGCGCGGGGGGAGAGAGAGAGAGAGAGAGAGAGAGAGAGAGAGAGAGAGAGAGACTGCTAACACGCTCTCATCGTGATTGACTTGATTCCTCTCTGATGGGCAGCCCCATCCTCATGGTGGGGCACGCGGAGTCCCGTGCAGCCCCAGCCCCGCGCGCGCGCCCCCACCACCCCCATACTGGACCCAGTCCGCGCCCGCGCGCGCCCAGCAGCATGCAGACTCGATGCCACTCAAGCAATTCGGGACGCTCCCCGCCCCTTTCCCCCTCCTAGTTGAGCCGCCCCGCGTCACGCCACGGGCAGACACTACGTTGTACTGCACCAGCGCGACAGACACTGCGCTGCACTATGGTGCTTCGTGAACACGGGCCCGTCGTGTCACCCGTGCGATACGCCCCTGGGGGGGCACAGGGGCAGGAGCCGCCCACTGAAGAGAGGGAGCGATGGGCATCACATCGTGTGGCTTTGCTACTCCACTATCTATTTGCTTGTTTCCCGGGTAGCCGCCCGCGCGCGGTCCGTACCACAGGCCTTCGCGTGGGAGGGTTTCAGACGCCCACTCGCTCCCCGCCCACGGAACACCCCGCCAACCGGACGTAAGGCGTTGACCCAACAAACCACGACCCGCCCGACCCACCCGCACCCCATACCGCTGCGCCCCCTCCCTCTCCTACACCCCCCCCCCTCTCTCTACTCGGCGCCCAGCTCCACCCGCAGCCTAGCCGCCGTTTCCTTCCGAGTTTATCCAGTGTGTCCTGCATTCCTTACGTAATTAGCCAGCCCTTCCAGACCAAACAGAGTTTCCTATCTCTCTCTCATCCCCTAAATTAGCCAACTCTTCCAACGGACTCTATCTCTCTCAGACCCTCTCTCGGCGCCCATAATTCACACAGCACATCTCGCCTCAGCTCTGACTGGCAGTCAGACCAGCCGCGCCTTCCCCGCGCGCAAGTCCATCCGACGGAGGCATCGTATCGCATGCCAGACCTGCTTCGCCTCTCTCGCCACTCTCTAACTTCTAACTCCAAGGAATTGAGTCAACCGTAAAATTGTGGTCGTGTGCGCGCAAGTATGCGGCAGACAGAAAGAGGAAATGTATTCACCCACGAAATTTGTACCTCGAGTAGAGAAAACTTCGTTTAAAAAATAACTATACATGGGAAATTTTAGCCTTGTTTTATGGCACTCTCACAGTTTCCAAGGTCAAAACGAGATTCAATGTAGCTCTTAAGTGATTGATCAACGTCAGTCGCTTTGAAAACGTTTCCTTGGATACTCAAGAAAATTTTCCTTGCCTTTGTATTAACAAGATACATTTTCTTGGTAAAGGAAAGAAAGAAAGAAAGAAAGAAAGAAAGAAAGAAAGAAAGAAAGAAAGAAAGAAAGAAAGAAAGAAAGAAAGAAAGAAGTGTGTGAGAGGGAAAGAGAGTGATACACATATTGGCTGGCAGGTATTGGCCTTGGCGCCAAAACCTGCTAGCATTCGCGTTCGCGTACTGGCGAGCAGTGGGTGACGCAGCTCGGACACTTCTGAGCAGAACGTTGGATAGTGTGACAGCATAATGCACATTAGTGGTAGCATAAGGTCCAGAGTGTAGCGGCCGTTCTGTTTCCGCGCCCTCCCACGCCTTCCTTGTCATCCTTGCGGAAGGTTCTTCACCCTAGCAGACGCTGGGATACCCACCCAATTCAGGCCAGCCGCTAGTCGGCCCTGGCCGAGTTCCCCGGGCCGGGCAGGGCGAGGCATACACTCTTTGCACACCGCAGCCGACGCGTGGCGCGGCGTGGCGCTCCGCAGCGCAGCCTTTCTTCCGTCGGAAATACGACTCTGAGCAGCGAGACTGTACTGAGGGCAGCGGCGGGGGCTGGGCTGCTGGACGGAGCGGGACGAACGGAAAAAAGCGTTCGATCTGGACCAGGGTCAACATCACTTGTGTTTGAGGCAGCGCGCACTCCTATAGAAAGTATACGCGCGGGTGCAAACAATTGTTTTCATATTGGAAACGCTTGTTTTACTGGGCGTCGTGCTGCTGGTTTAGAAATATAAATGGGCTGCTCCGCATCAAAGAAAACAATGTTCGTGCCACCGTTCTGTACAGAGAGGGTGGCCCACGGACCCCGGAACATTTTATATAGTCACATACGGTACCGAATGCAGGCGTTTTCGACAGGTTGCCTACACGCTGAGGACCATAAGGCACCATGATCCCAGACAATGGCCCATGCTGGTAAACCACAAAATGTTCTGGGGTTCGTCCATCCTGCATGGGGGCATGACGGTCATACACATAACAACACAGTCTAACTTACAAACTGTAAAAATATAAAGTTCAAATATTTGTCAACGGCAAGAACAAAGGGCCTGTCAATTTCTTTTCCCGCTGCGAGGGAGTGGAACACCAACGAGTCCGAGAAGAGGGTCATCACACTACGCGAGCGTCGAGTCTGCGGCGAGCACTTGATTCTCCCGCCTTCCACCTCCAGCCACCTCTTCTGCACGCTCCCGCTTCCGAGCCTTGACATGAATGAGCTATGCCGGCCGGTCTGAGCCCAACGCCGAGCCCCTCCCTCTCAGCCATGTCCTTCCCTAACTTCCTTCGTCTCGCGCACACACGAGCGCGGCGCGCCTCTCATCTACCGAGATCTGCAAACTTATAATGCCCTCGCTATATCTTCCTCCCTGAACGCGTTTTTCCCCCGATGCTCTCATGCAATAACTGGAAGCAGTCGTCGACTCGAGGAACTGCATCGTCTCTGCTGGACGAGCGCCAAAGGAAGATCAGGTCGGTGTCAACAACAGCGGAGATATGAGAACCAGCAGATGCGAATGACACGTAAAACCCTGTAAATATATTCAACTGCACAAACAGTTTAACAATAAAGGGGCCTTCATTAACTATAGGTAATCATACAGTTTTTTCTTTTGGTTATTTTCTGACAAGAGTTCAAATTTGGGGCCAGAACAAGAGAGGCGTTTTAAAAATTCTGATAAGTCGAGTTAGTATTCAATCGTCCGACTCTTGAAAGTGTACAAGAGCAGTTTGCAAAATAAACAATTACTGAGTATTTCTGAGTTGAAAAGGTGATTTTTTATCGGTGCATGCTAATTTCACACTGATATCAAAACTAAATCAGAAAAAAATTGTGCTAAGATTTTAAGTTAAATGTCATGATGTCACAGTTCTGACATGCTGGGGTAAAATAGTTTTGCGAGAAAATTGAAGCTATTTCGCGCGTAGGCACTTCCGTCGCGCCATCTTCGTCACAAACAGTCCATGTGTGTGTGTTCCCCAACTGTCATCGGCTGCTGCTGTGCGAAACTTAATACAGATTGCTAATGATACACAACATACTCAAAATGAATTAAAAATTTCTAAATTGATAGCACTGAAATTTATGTTCGATGACATTCTCCCAGGGTGACCCCGCAGATTGACTGACTTGTTACATTTGAATTGATACACAATATTGATCAAATACACACGACCTATTTTGGAACAACTTTAAAACAACTTTGAAGCCCTCTGCCAAAAATTCCCTAGATCGAAATGTTCTGGAAATTCCAAAGGAAATTCCAACATATTTTTAACATCAAGGAGACAGTCATAGCAGGAGGAGGAGGAGGAGGAACGAGACAAATTGCCATCAGTGACAACGCAGAGATTGTGGGTGGAGGGGGGTAAATTATATTATATCGACGTATCAAGCGTCTATAAATATATAAGTATATGAGGAAGCTACGTGCTACGTGGCAGCCTCGGTAAAGTCCATTAGTGCGGTTGCCTGTTTTCGGCACCGGGGAAAGATTTATTGCGTGATCTCTACCAAAGAACGGCGGCAGTGATATCAAGTTTACATCGTCAACCATGCAAGGATTTTCCGTTCATAAAATAAGACACAACCACAGCATAGTGACTGCAACTACACAAACGAAGTACTTGATAGCCGAACTTGAAAACCGAAGCTCAAAACCAAAATTGAAAAAAAATAATTTAACATTATCAAACCGGCTCGATCACCCGCTGTACCTTAGGTAGGTTAGTGGTCAAAATATTGGCCAGGATGTTTTTTCACGCTATAGTATATATAGTATACTAGTCCGTGTTTTTCAGGGTGGATGCTCTTCTCAACTACCCTGGAGATAATCAAATTACCCTGCTTTTCTGTCCCAGCCGGCATAATGAGATACTATCCATGGACAGCGAGCAACCTGCGGAATTGCACACATGGCGACTGTTATTGGCGCGAGAATTAAATTCATCCCGGATACAGTGGTGCGTATCGACACCGGCAGCCGGACGTCTCAATGACCCCCCGGAGGGTGGGGCGCGAGCATCGAGCACCGTCATTACAGCAAAGAGCACAGTATGGACTTTTTCCTTGAAAGAAGGAAAACAAAAACCGCTCTTTAAAAATAAATTACGTTTATGCGGGGCATACACATTAATTTCCCCTTCAAATGTTCCATATTCGCGTGTCTTCTCTGTAAGACGCATAGAGACAGCTCCTCCATCTGGAACGTCCTACCACCATCATGAGCCAGACGAACGACTCGCGCGCACCACGCGCCAGACTCCTTCATTAGAGTTAACGAGGCGGCAAAATAAAAACATGTTGGGCCCCATTTGACTTCTTTAACCTCTCTCACACACGTGTTTGAGCCGTGCGGCAGGAATATCCACCTCGCGACTGGAGGTGCGAACGTGACCGTGACCGGACGGGATGGGGTGGTACTGGATGCGACCGGGCCTCCCCCCC